ATTCTTTAGGAATGTCTTGGATTGAACAGAAGCGAAAAATCCAAGGTCAAGCACATTCATGTCAGGGGAATTTGGGGGCTGATTTTTTATGCGTATGTCTAGTCCTGTTTGGGCAACCGCAAGGGCAAATGCAGGGTCATCTGCTGCAATATGTGTTCGTGCATTGTCCTGTTGTATCCATATGGTCTGCCTAATATCTTCTTGAGGCCAACATGAGACAATAGCTGGAATCACTTTCGTAATCAAGAAAGCTCTACTTGTGTCCCTGCAAACTGTCAAAGATTTTGTGATCAAAGTACCCCTCGGTCTGTTCTGGCTGCTCCTCTGTGCCGGCTCCTACAACATTGATGAAATGGAAAGTTAGTTTCAAAATGATTTCAAACCAACACAAATAGAGCAAATAGATTCCCTCACCTTCTTAACAAAGGGCCATATACCTAGTTTGCCATCAAAGTAGCAATTTCCATTCGCATCATATCTAGGCCTTGCAAGTGCTGCTAGAAACATGACTTTGTCTATTGCTTGTTTATTTTGAACTAACCTCACTGGTTCATCCTCTCCATCCTCTCCATCCTCTCCACCATACAAGTAAAACCTCCTAGCAATTTTAGTGCTGTTGAACCACTTCTCATCTATGTGCACAACGTTGCGCATGTCATCAAAAGTGGGCTGAGTATGTACTGTTTGAATGTCCAGCATGGACACACAAAATTGCAGGCGACACTTCTTATTTGCATCTTTGAGAAAAGGCTTTAGTGTGTTTGAGTGACGACGAAGGATGCCTTCTTTGAAAGCTCTATGCACTACAGACTTTGGAATATTCAAAGCTGAGGCAAGATTTCTAATAGTAGTCCGCTGGTTCAATGGAATTGTTGCAACCTGTGACCAATCTCTATCAACCCTTTTCCAGCCACATTTCTTGGATTTTTTTGATGTAAAGTCAACTTTGATACCTGCTGCTTGGCATTTCTTCACTTTTGTCCACAAATCCTGTGATATCACATTCTTTTGGTTTGTTTTTCACTTTTGGATTTGTGGACAAAAGTGAAGAAATGCCAAGCAGCAGGTATCAAAGTTGACTTTACATCAAAAAAATCTAAGAAATGTGGCCGGAAAAGGGTTGATAGAGATTGGTCACAGGTTGCAACAATTCCATTGAACCAGCGGACTACTATTAGAAATCTTGCCTCAGCTTTGAATATTCCAAAGTCTGTAGTGCATAGAGCTTTCAAAGAAGGCATCCTTCGTCGTCACTCAAACACACTAAAGCCTTTTCTCAAAGATGCAAATAAGAAGTGTCGCCTGCAATTTTGTGTGTCCATGCTGGACATTCAAACAGTACATACTCAGCCCACTTTTGATGACATGCGCAACGTTGTGCACATAGATGAGAAGTGGTTCAACAGCACTAAAATTGCTAGGAGGTTTTACTTGTATGGTGGAGAGGATGGAGAGGATGGAGAGGATGAACCAGTGAGGTTAGTTCAAAATAAACAAGCAATAGACAAAGTCATGTTTCTAGCAGCACTTGCAAGGCCTAGATATGATGCGAATGGAAATTGCTACTTTGATGGCAAACTAGGTATATGGCCCTTTGTTAAGAAGGTGAGGGAATCTATTTGCTCTATTTGTGTTGGTTTGAAATCATTTTGAAACTAACTTTCCATTTCATCAATGTTGTAGGAGCCGGCACAGAGGAGCAGCCAGAACAGACCGAGGGGTACTTTGATCACAAAATCTTTGACAGTTTGCAGGGACACAAGTAGAGCTTTCTTGATTACGAAAGTGATTCCAGCTATTGTCTCATGTTGGCCTCAAGAAGATATTAGGCAGACCATATGGATACAACAGGACAATGCACGAACACATATTGCAGCAGATGACCCTGCATTTGCCCTTGCGGTTGCCCAAACAGGACTAGACATACGCATAAAAAATCAGCCCCCAAATTCCCCTGACATGAATGTGCTTGACCTTGGATTTTTCGCTTCTGTTCAATCCAAGACATTCCTAAAGAATTCTAAATCCATGGAAGAGATTATAGAAAACGTGCAAAAAGAGTACAATGAGTATGACGAAGATTTGGTTAATCGGGTTTTCTTAACCCTACAATCTTACTTCATAGAAGTCATGAAAGTTGATGGAGGCAACGGGTACAAGATACCCCATATGAACAAGGATCGCTTACAAAGGCTTGGCATGCTCCCTACTAGACTTACTTGTGAACTTGAATTTTATCAAAGTGTGGTGCGGTCTTTAAGTTAAATGAATAGTAGTTGGAACAATGGTTGCATAGAAAGGCTTGGATTTTATTTTGTTGTGATGCAGCCTTTATGTACATAGAGCTGTATTATATTTTGCAAGCACTGTTATGCAAAATCTGGAGTAGTTGCACCTCATCAATACTTTCTTGTTCAGTACTTGAAGAGATTAGATTTGTTTTAATTGTGTTATACATGCTTACACTACCGACCGGCAACTCTCTCTCCCATCGCTGCATCCCTTCCTCTCATGGCTATCACGTTCTCTCCCACCACCGTCACCGCTGTGATGCGCTTTCTCCTCACCGCCTCGATCGTGAGGCTCAATGTAGTGTACTTTCTATAATTGTCATCTGTTTATCCTCTCTAATGCACCAGACCCAACATCAAATTTGGGTGGATGTGACACATCTTAGTACAATTAATCTGGACAGACGTCTATCCAGATTCATTGTAGTAGGATGTCACATCCACCCAAAATCCTTTATATCATGGGATGGAGGGAGTACATATCATTTGATAATCAAGCTAGCCATGAGAATTTTGTATTATACCACTAACATTTAGATTAGGGAACCTATCATAGTGGATAAATATTTAGATTAGGGAACCTGAAATAGTAGATAAATATTTTGGCTTCAGTGTTGACAGCTTGTCATCTTAGTAGTATATATTACAACAAAATAGTATTAGTTTGGTTATAGTGCATTGATGAAGATGTATGAAATCAGATATTCAGTGATTTTTCTCTCAGCTAGAACATCAAATTTCTTGTAGTGTTACTGCACATTGTACACAGAAGAAGAATGATTTACTGCACATTCTACACACATGCATGATTTGATTCATCATCTCAAATAGGACACCATGGACTGCTACCATTACTTACAGAAAAAAGAAGTGCATTACATGGTTTAAATATACACATAATAAACTTTTGCCCTGCCTTGGCCAATCTAACAGCTAATCTACAAACACTTCAACGCAGTTTTCATCCCAACCTATCATGTACATAGCTTCAGCTAGAGTTTTTGCCAAAAGCCAACACCCAACCTATCATGCACATAGCTTTAGCTAGAGTTTTTGCCAAAAGTCGAACACCCAACATTCACCCAAGCAAGTTACTAGGACAAGCTGAACAAAACGAACTAACCATAACAGCTAGCATCCTAAGTACTATTACTACCATTTCATCACTAATTTAATTCATAATAACATAAGCACGCATGAACACATGGGATTGAGCATGTCCATTACCATAATTCACTGTCGTCGACTTGCCCATGGTCGCGCCAATCCAAGCCCACACATTGACTATTACCCTTGTCATCACCGCTTGCCCTGATTGCCCTGTCCTTCTCGTCATCGTCGCTTGCCTTCATAGACTTGTCCTCCCTTGTTGTCTTATCATCCTTCTCTCTAGCTGCCTTATCATCCTCCTCCTGTCTTGTGGCTTTTTCAAAATAAGATCTTCTTGCCTTCTCCTCTTGCGCAAGATCTTTCAACAGGCCTTTGAAGACAGAGTTGGTGACGAACCTTCGCCGGCAATGTGGATCGGATGGGGGATTTGGCATGGCCACATCGCCTCTCGATTGGTCCTCACCTACTCCAATCTTCTCCACGGAGTCTGCATCCTCCGGCTGCGAATCAGGTACAAAATCAACTTCCCTGACTTCGCAACTATCCCCATCGACCACTTCTTCCTCATCGGATCCAGAGTCAGGGACGAAAAGGAATTCGTCACCGATCTCACCTTGTGAATTCGGGACAAAATCTACACCTTCCTTAACAGGGTACCGACCAACACGACTCCACCAAGTTCCGCGCCGCTTCTCGCTACTGCCAGGTCGCGACGCCATCCTGCGTCGCTTCTCACTCTTACTAGGCTGCAGCCCTAAGAGGAGCCGCTGCATGTCGCCGATTGGATCCGAGCCGCTTCCCTCCAACACCGGTCCCCGCATCCATTCAGCTGGACCGCCACCCCCCACCGCCTCTACCGGCCTAGAATCGCCGGATCTGGCTGCAGGAGGATTGTCCTGGGAAGGGAACGGCATAGGAAAGCCACGGCGAATCCCGGCGCGGGGAGGGGTGTGGAGAGGGTCGGAGCGCCACATGTTCCACCGGGAGGAATAGGGAGGGGGGCGGCGGCTAGCGCCTAGAGGGACGGGTGGAATTGCGCCGGGAGGGATGAGGGAAATCGCGCCAAGAGGAAGGAGAGAAGCGATTTCCCCGCTTCTGTTTCGATGGCGAACGAGAGGGGAGAGCGTGAGATGTGGTTGCGAGTTTTTTTTTTCCTCTATCCGTATGTGGGTGGATGGGTGGTGGGAATCTTTCCCTTTTTTTCTCTCTGTATAGGACAGTGTGGGGCACGATAAAACTGTCGCTGCTGCTCCTCGGGAACTCAAAATCCGCTATATTGCAGGACAAACCGGTAGGCTCAAAATCCGCTATATTGCGGGACAGAGGGAGTACATGTTAGATGTTTTAACTGCCAAGGCTTCATAATTCCACGAATCTTCCCGGCAGTACGTACGTGCAACGAAGCTCACCGCAACTGCCCGAGAAAATGAATCCAACGTCTTCACTTCACAAGAAAACGTACTAGCGGTATAAAATCATAGTACTTCTGCTAATTACTCCCTCCGTTTCATTCATATTTTTTAATTAAATTTATTTAAGTTTAATCAAATTTATAGAATAATATAATAAAAGTATTTCTATGAATTTGATCAAATTTAATAAAATTTGCTTTAAAAGAATCAAAAGATTTATAATATAAAGGAGAGAGAGTAACATACTTTTGAAATCATTAGCAGTAAAATGTTACTAGTAGTACTAATTAACTCATCAACACTCCTTGAAAAAAGATAAGAGATGACAGGTTTAAGGTTAGCTCGATCCCAGCATTTTGCGCATTCACGCATCCCAGCCGTCCACGTCACGGCAACGGACGGCCTCGGAAACCCCAAAAATTCTCACAAGAACCAACCGAAGAGGCCGTTTTCCCTCGCCGGCGGCGGGCGTATTTACAGGCAGTTGCTCGCCGGCGGCGGCGGCCGCGGCTGGGCGGCGGTCAGCGGGAAGCCGAGGGGTGCCGCGAACAGCGCGGCGAAGGACGACGGCCGGTGCGGCTCGGGCGACGCGACGGCGGTTCTTGCGGCCGCGGTCGGCGCCGCCGCCGGGGACGTGGCCGCGGCGGGGGCGGAGGTCGAAGCGGTGGCCGGGTTGGAGGCGACACGCTCGCAGGAGGGGCACATGGAGAGGGTCGTGGCCGGGAGGTGCATGTAGAAGGGGCGCGCCGTCTTGAGCGCGCGCAGCTCGGCGAGCTCCTTGTGCAGCCGCCGGTTCTCCTCGGTGAGCGTCTCGCAGCAGCGCTTCAGGTACTCGCAGTCCACCTCCGTCTGCTTCAGCTTCGTCCTGCGCACGTCGGCGCCGGAGAAGAAGAGGGTTAGCTCTGTTAGTGGAGCGGCGCTTCAAGAGGAATCGAGGAGAAAATCTCTTTGCATGCACCTGGCTCGGCGGTTCTGGAACCAGACCTCCACTTGCCGCGGCCGGAGGTTGAGCTGCTTCGCCAGCGCCACCTTCTGCTTCTGCTCGCCGCCGGTGAGAAGCATCAGCGTCAATGGCCAAGAACGAGCTAGTAGAAACAAACACTCGCGTGTTCGAGCATATTCTAAGAAGAGGAGCAGCTTTAAATATTCCATGCATTCTTACGGGATTCAGCGTGCTGTGCTCCTTGAAGCTCTCCTCGAGGAACGCCGACTGCTCCTTGGAGAGTCGCAGCTTCTTGCGCGCGGACGCGCCCTCGTCGTCGTCGCTCGCGCGCGAGGACGACCGCTCGCCGCCGCCGCCGCCGCCGCCACCCTGCGCCGCCGCCTCGGCGTGGCCACGGAGGCCTTGCCCGGAGAGGTCCAGCGGGAAGGATCCCCCGCTGTCGTTGGGCGACGACGACAACGCCGGCGCGGCGCCCGGGCCCTCCTCGTCGTCCTCCATCCCCGGCGCGCCCGCCGCCACCGACGGCGCCCGGTTCACGTCGAACCCACGCGCCGCCGCCTCCGAACGCCCTGCCAAGAAAACGCGACCCACCACACAATCACAACACCGCAAGCAAAGAAACGCCCGCAAGCATCCACGGCGGCGGCGCCGCCGCCACTCACCGGTCTCGGAAGGCCAGTGGAGCCCGAGGCTCGACACGAGGCTGAGCCGCACCGACGGCTCCGGCGAGGCCGCCGCCATCGCCGCCCACCTCCCAGCTCCCACCACATCCTCCCTCCTCCCCCTCTCCTCCTCCTCTCCTCTCCTCACCCCAGCCCCAACCCCAACCCCGAGCCCAAGAACCAGCTCCAGCCTCCCGCCATCCGCCACGGTCACCGCATCCCCCAAGCTCAGCCCCAGCTCCATCGATCACACCGGCCACAGAACCACAGCTCTCACTTGCCAACCCAAGCTTTATACTCTTATCAATGGAGCTCAGCTCAGCTACCTCTTGGCTGTGTGGGTGTGTGTGATTAATGGGGGCCGGGTAGTAGTAGTAGCAGCAGCAAACCTAAGCTAGGAGAAGGGAGTGGACGAGTGGGGGCTCGGGCTTTGACCCATGAGACAACGGTTTGACGAGCGCACGTGAGTGACCCGGCAAAAGGGAGCAGGCAGACGAGATCGAATCATAAGGGCAGGATTAAAAAAAAAACCAACAAAAAACAACGAGGCATAGCATGGGAGAGATTGGAGCTGTGTGTATATGCAGATGCAGATGTGTGTGCAGATGCAGCTGCAGTGCAGTGCAGCAAGCCAGCATGGGCCAGCTCTACTGATGGCCGCTAATAATTATGTTAATCATCACGTATCTTTCCCCTTTGGCGAGCAGCGCCCACGATCTTTATCGGAGCAAGTATAATAGTGGGCTATAAGAGCACCCGCAATGGTAAAGTAAGGTGCTACCTATAAAACATGTACATCTCAGCAATAGACTAGATTAATAGTAAACCACTTTAATAGTATGTCTACTTGGGTATCTATAGCTCTCTAATCCATTGCCTCGTTTTTCTCTATAGACTATCTACAGGTTAGTAGATAGCTTTGCTCTCTCCCTTCATTTAATCTCTTCCAAGTAAGAAAATATGCTAACATGGATATCTTGTAGAGAGCCTATAGATAACCATTGTGGGTGCCCTAAGAAGGCTGAATGCTGAGGTGGATGAGAGAAAAGAGGAGAGAGAAGAGAAGCGGGCTGTAAGTTTACAGCCGGCTTAGGCACAGTAACAAAAAAAATCTGTGAGACAGACATATGGACCATATATTTATAGTGAAAAGTTAACCACTATATAAGTGAGCTGATAGATAGACTATAAGTAAGCAGCTAGCTGTATTATTATCCTTGCTCTCAGAAAGCTGGGGGTGGCCGGGTGGTGCATGCAAGCGTTGCAGCGTGCCGCTGCGGCTGCGTACAAGACGTGCGTATTTCTTGGGGAGCGTATGGTTTCTGGGTCTCAGGTGGGGTGTTGGGGGGAGGAGGGAATGGGATTGGATTGGAGTGTGGTGGGGGAAATTTATTACCACGACGAGCGTTCCGTACTATGGGAACAAGCGTATGGTAGCCTTGAGAGTTGAGAAAAAGAGGAGGTTTGAGGACTTCCATCACTCGCGTTTTTTGACCGATGTTGGAATGACTTTGAATTTTCCGATGATTTTTGTAAAGGAAAGAATCTACCCTCGTTAATTCTATGGAGCTCATGTGACAGTGAGGTTCACATGACCTCAGCTTGTGGTTCTTATTGCTAATTAGACTAGAGAAAATTCCTTAGTTTTTCTAGTAAGGGTGGACGTGGTCTGGGCGGTTCAACCCAGACTCGACCCATTCAACACATCTAGGTTGGAACGGTGTTGATGGGTCGACCCACAAGTTTTGGTGGTTACAGCGTGTCGACGCAGATTCTGCTAGTATTTTGATTTGGAATATAAAATAAGCCAAATCAAGTGAAAGAATGTACTGGTAAATTATAATGTGCTCATTTCTTGATTGGAGATGCATAATTACTATCAGTGTTAATAAGAGGTACCGGGTACCATCACACAACCATGGATGACAAGAGGAGGCAAAGTTGTTACCCACCGCGCTAGAGTGGGGGACGAGATCACGAAAGAAAGGATGAGGAGGCGTCGCCATCGTGTTCTTGTACGGTGTGGGATGCCGGATGAGGGAACCGATGGAGAAAGAATATATAGTGAAGGTGTGAGGTCTGGTTATTGGGTTGGAGTCGTAGGACTTGTTACCCATTAGAACCAATGTTTTGGGTTTTGGACTGACCTACTTATCCATTGGACTCAATTTTGTCAGACGGGCCAATGAGGCCGGTGGGTCAGCCCGGACCATTCCTATCCCTAGTTTCGCGAGAAATTTACTACTAGTAATGTGAGAATTTTAAGAGAGGCAAATTTCTAATGTCATATAAAAAATATGCTAGTACCTCAGAGTCCTGGAAAGACTTTAGCTATTTGATGTGTTTGAATTACACATTTCTTAGTACTTTTAGGGTATAAGAGGCATCCTGAATGCTGCGAGAAATTCAAGTTGGAAATTATACAATGAACTAGCAAGAGTCCATGGAAGAAAAAAACATGCTTCATCACAAGCTGTTCGGGATGATTAATATGTGGCTCGAGTTCTCCTTTCACAACATTGTGCTCCATTTTTCAGCAAACTTATGAACTTGGTTTGGACAGGATGTGGATGAGAGGACATGCTTTGAGAGGAGCCGGAGCAATGAAGGCCTAACTCGTGGGTAGTTGAGATGAGGGATCAGACGATGATGCAGCAGAGTTACGAGTCAAGATTGCATGACGGGTGAAATAATCCATGGTATAAGATTCGAGTGCCAAGTTAGATAGTGGCAAGTAGTCATATCTCAATGGATCTATGATATATGGAAGAATGCACCATAGAGTTGTCTTAGACAACAAAGATGTTGATCGCCCAATGGGTGTAGAAGGTTGAAAATGTTGGCACGCGAGAAGGGTTAGGTTTGGCTTGGAGGGTAAACTAATATATGAACTGAGGATGCAATCCCGACCATTGGATCATAAACTAATAGTTACTAGAATTTTATAACATTTGTTGCCCAAATTCATACTAACATTACATAGGCAGTAGAAAAAATAACTTGCAAGTACCATTGTAGTCCATATTTACTCTTTGGAACATACTAGTATGGTGTAGTAATTGTTTTCCTCCTTTACAAGATGAAATTACAATAATATTTGCAAGATGTGGTTGTATGATTAAAAATAACGGGTGTATAGTTTCTAGTCTAAAAATACATCTTTCTTCCTGTGCTGCCCTAGCCAACCTTGTCAGCGCCGGAAGGTGCAAATACGCTCTCCTCCTCCCACCCCGTGCTTTAATTTACCTCCAAACCCTAAACTTTAAGTTCTTTTGCACGAGTCTCAACGTTGTCACCGCTGCTGAGAAGCCATCACCACTATCGTGTTCTCCCTTTTCTCTAGGTAGAGTTTGAAGATAGCTCCTTGGGTGTCATTGGCTTGGCTAGGAAGTAGTAGAAATCTTGGTCAAATGAGAACTAGTTGTAAATCTCTTAGAAATACCGTACACTTATATTATAATAGCCTACTTGTTTCATAAGAAGACAAAGACAATCCTTCTTTTCAGGATGGAATGATGAAGACTCGTTGTTTGGGTTAGATCATGACATGATATGTCCCTTTAGGCACCCAATAATTTTGCGGTACATAGTTAAGTGCAGTGCTCACCACTACTTTAAAAAACAATTTTTCCAGATAGTCAAATCCTATTTTTGTGTTCGATCGAGCCGCCCATCTACTTGAAAGTGTGCGGAAATTGCTATTTTTTTATGCGGGTGGCACACATGAAAATGAAGGTTAATTTTTATATGCGCGACCAATTACGATCTGTTTGCAATTGTAATTTAAGAGTACTCGTATAGAAATATCGTTTATGGAATAGTGCAACTAGCGAGTTTAAGCTAAGGCACAAATGCAGCCGCATCAATTCTGCTGGATGGATGCATGCAGGCACTGCACACACGCGCGCATGATTATGGCCATCAATTCCTCATCCGACGCCATCATCTCCACCTACGGCATCGTGTCTACTCCTACCTGCGTGATATATTAAGCAATCCTGTTGATGTGTACAATGGGGACAAAGCCGACGGGTTGTTCACTGGCCTCAATCATGGAGCATGATGTTGTTGTTGCTGCTGCTGAATATGGCCTGGCTCAATTGATGCTTGTGGCCAAACATGGCTTGCAACTATGATGGCTGCTGGCTTGTGGTTGGATGGGGTGGCAATTATATGCGATGGATTCACTTGCCCATGCGTGTACAAAAGGCGCCCATTTCTATATTGGATTTATTGGACGTTATTGTTTGTACTGGAGCGCTACTAGCAAAAGCGACTCTTTCTGCTCATCTGCGAAGGTCATATACAATACTATCCTTGTTTCAAATTGAAAATGTATACTCCTACATTATTCCCCCACAGCAACATTTCATCTTATTGAAAAAGACCATGCACCTGATAGGACTAGTCAGCGAAGAGCAATCTTCTTCTCCCAAAAATAAAAATTGATCAATGTTCCGGTGACATTTGTTTGTCCTTTTCTCACCAGAAACATGACTGTTCCCATATCAATGCAGCCAATACAGGGAGAAAGAAAAAACTGTTCTGTGTGTTACCAGTGCAAAAGGGAGCAAGCAAAGCAGGTCCTCCATCCGGACCCTCCCCCTCATCATGCCCCTATATCCACGGCCTCACCAGTCACCACCTTGCCGCTACGTGACGAGATCGCACGCCGACGCGGCGCGCGACACGGGCGGGGCGTCGAGGCGTGCCATGCCACAGCGCGCGAGCCAACGCGCCGTGCGTGTCTGGCCCTGTGGCGCCGCGCTAGCTAGCTAGAGACCGAGTTGGTGTGTGGTGTGTGTGTGTGTTGCTTCCCGCGCTAGCTGCCCGCCTGTGCCTGTCTGCCTCTGCACTGCAGCTAGCAGCTACAGCTCCCGCGCGCTGCTGCTGCCTGCAAGGCTGCAATGGTCCAATGCCTCCTCCTGCGACGAGCAGGCGAGCCCAGCATGGCAATAGCCGCACGAGACGCTCCCGTTCCATCTGTTTTGCCCCCGGCCCCGCCCGTCGTCCCCGTCCCCCCGCTGCGCCCCATGGCCAGCTCTGTGCGGTTTTTGTCCCACGGCTCCGCGACGACAGGTGACGGATCAATGGCGGATTCGTGCATGTGATGACTGGAGTGCGACGTGTGAACCCGGCCGCGGCCTATGCGGACTTCTCCTATTGGTTGCCGTCAGGCCCTATCCCGTGGCACAGTAACGTAGTACTGCTCGTGCTAGTACTACGAGTACGAACGTGTCAATGGGAGAGAACTTCAAAAGGGGATTTAAAGACGCAAGATAAAACGAAGTATAATTAAGAAGGCTTAATTTTTTTATACATAATAGAAATAATTTACAGCTTCGATCGCTGCCATAAGACACGTCTAATAAATTTTGACATATAAAAATAAAGCCATAAGATCATAGAACGGATCATTAAAAAAACACGAATATTAGAGAATAACCTAATATCAAATATAATTAAAATGAGTGAGGTTTGAACCTAGGTTCCAGGTCGTCTAGCCCTAGGTGTTTATCGGACAGATCCTCAACTACTTCAAACAAATTTAATACAAGTAAAAAAAGTTTCAAACTTACATACATTTTATCATGTCGTCTGGTAGATATTGTTCTTTTTATGATAGCACCAAAGGCCCAGTCTCAAATAAAAATCTGGAAGGACC